TCAAGACTACGTTAGGGTCATGTCTCCTTGATGGAAAGTCATGTCTGTTCGGCAACAAGTCAAAGGCCACAGTCCCAGTCCAAGTCATAATCCCATGAGTCAGTCCTGATTCAGACCAGGAGTCCAAAAGACAGGCCCGATGGCCCAAAGCAGCAGAAGACCATGGGAAGAGATACCGGGACATACACTTTGCAACAACGGGTACTGGGCAGGAGTCCCAGACACTTGAGGCTGAATGCAGGCCACACCAGCCCAGTCCAGCAATAAAGGACTGGCCAGCCTCCCATTTGGACAGATGCTCACTTCGCATGAGAGTGTGGAAGTGTCGTGGCACTTGTGAGCTAGATGTGAGTGAGCTGCGCTAGGCTGAAGAGCAGCGCTATGTGAGAGGGAAGAGAGTGCTGGCTGGAAGGAAGGCAGCCATAGCGGCGCCAACGCTAGTTAGTATGTTAGTAGGGATAGTCTGGCCGACAGGGCCCCTCGTGTGATAGGGAGTGTGCATGCATGATGAGTGAGAGTAGACCAGGACTAAAGACAGCGGAAGAGAGGAGAGAGATCAAAGGGGAAGAAGTAAGCTATGGTGATACCTACTTGTTGAGGCGCTGTTGACGTTAGGCAGCTGGTGCTGATGAGCGCCAGGCCTGGGAATTCATGTTGACTGAAGAAGACTTGTAACTCTGTTTGGCGCTGAACACTTCGAACTCACGAATTCTGGGTTTGGTTATCGAGTTGAGCTTCCTGGTTCTCATTCATTTTCCATTGGGCTTTGTGTGAGACATCGCAATCTGTGAAATCTGTGTACATGCGTGTGATCTGATGCACTCCAGCAAGTGATGAACAGTCGGGTTCCTTGCAATAACACCACCAACACCCCCATAGCGGCCCCCAATACCCCCATACCCCCCCCCAATACTCCCATACCCCCCCCGACCCCCCCCAATACCCCCTATATCATCCCTATAGCCCCCTATACCCGCCCTATACTCCAAACCCCAACCCCCCCATACCCCCCCCCCATCCCCAAAAGTTTCTCAGCGGATTTGGGCTGGTACTCAGCAAGCACAGTACAGCCTCCAACTCAGATTTGAAAAAAAATCAGTGGATGGTTGTTTTCTGACTGCTCCGCAGACTGCCGACTGGTCGGCCGTACTGGTGGGCTGCGATACGGTCGGCAGTCAGGGTCGCCAGTCGGCAGGGGTGCAACCCTGCTGTCCATCAAAAACTCGTCGGCGAGTTCCGGACCTCGGCCGTTTGGCCCACAGCCGGCAGTGCTTTGGTGTGAGAGGACTGGCGGGCCCAAAAGAAACTACCTCGTATGCCTACTGGTTGAATTGTTGTTCAAGTGCAAGTGAAAATACCTGCACGGACACACGAGAAAAGAAACAGCACCTACATGCGAAAACAAAAACCGGTACTAAGGAATATGAGGTTTGCCTCGGTGGCTTTAAGCTGCTGTCGTGCCGAAAAAATAGCAACACTGACGCTTAAACAACCACTACCTGCAGGCCTCCGAATTTCAAGTAGTAGCCTACTACCTGATGTGTCAGGAGGCTGCGCCCGCTGTTGATAAAATCCACCGGCGGCATTGGCGTGTTACGGGCCTCCAGACTTCGTGGAGCCTTTTCGGTGCCAGTCGTGCTGAAGGTAGTGGTGGTTCAAACCACCAGCCCAGCTATGCAGTCCGACCCTCAGACGACCTGTATGTCGAGCCTGCCAAGCCTGGAGGTATCAGTCGCAGGACAGGCCGAGCCTGGAAGAACCAGTGGAAAAAGAAAAAAAGAAAAAGAGAAAAAAGCAACGACGCAAGGGCCATTATTGCAGTTTGATTCATTCTCCAAAGTGCTGATAGCATGCCCTCAAAGAGGGTGTCTCAGCCCCGTCGCATCTTTGTCAGAATGGAGAAAGGAATAAAAGTAAAAAAAAAACACAACGCCTTCGCCCTGATTGCGGTTGGATACATTTTTGGAAGTGCCAATGCCAGTATGCCCGTTCGACAACATCACGGAAACCACCCTGCCTCGCCGGCAGGGGACTTCTAGAAAAGTACAAAAACAAAAACAGAAAAAGAAAACAACTTCGTGAATCATCCACCACATATTAGGTACATCCATTGTAGGATGGAAGTGCCAGTGCCAGTATGCCCGTTCGAGAACATCACGGAGGGGACTTCTAAAAAAGGAGAACCAAAAAAAAAAAAAAAAACAACTTCGTGAATCTTCCCCCACATATTAGTTACATCCATTGTTGGTAGAAGGAACTAGTAGCACGGCCTCTGTGCCAATGTTTCCCGACACTACGTGAAGTAGTTTTTTTTTTTCCTTTTTTCCCTGCCCCTTTTAACAGATGAAATGCAGCGACTGGTTGCTCACTGCTGCGACCTCCGTCCGACGCTGTGTCGGTGTTGCACTGAAACGGTGCAGACCAGAACAAGAACCGACCTCTCAATACAAAATATAAGATAGCACAGCGGAAGACTTAGATACCAATGATCCGAACAATCAATATTACAATGCAGCCCTGAACAAACATCATCATCATCGTTACACGGTGTGAATGGGTTCTGGCGCTTCACACAGGAAGACTGCGCCAGCCCCTACCATACACAGACGAAGAAGAAGGGGGTTAGACGAAGAGGAGGGGAAGATGGGAATGTCGTCAACACCAAGTCTTCGGCACAGCCCAAATAGTCCCTCGTCGAAATGTCTGAATCCCAAATGTCAAGTCAGGATCCAATGTCGTCAAGTCTCAAGTCACAACTCTTTCTCTCTCTGTCGTAGTCTGAGAAGTCAGGTGGCGAGAGGGTGAGAAGAGATGGTGGACTTAGAAGAGGAAGAAGAAGAACTCTCTCTCTCTC